TGACTCGAGGGTTAAACTTAAGATGATTTTTTAAAATTTTATTTATTTATTCATGACAGAGAGAGAGAGAGAGAAAGAGGCAGAGTCACAAGCAGAGGGAGAAGCAGGCCCCATGCAGGGAGCCCGACGTGGGACTCGATTCCAGGTCTCCAGGATCACGCCCTGGGCTGAAGGCAGTACTAAACCGCTGAGCCACCCGGGCTGCCCAAGATGACTTGTTTTTATCACTTAACTTTAATTAATTAACATCACTATTTTGGGCCACAATTATTTGCCTTATAAAAGCATATCCAGTGCCTTTCTCACAATTAGTTACCCTCAATTGAGGCATCAGGACATTCAGGTAGGATAGTATGTCCCACCATCGTTTTGAGAAGAGAGAGAAGCAGTTTGCCACCAACAATCATTAAAGTATAGAAGTTAGTGAAAGACTCACTTTAAAAAACAATCACTATTCTAGTGCCATTTTAACAACATACAAGCATCACTCTTCCAATATGATTTCCCATATGATTTATTACATGTGAGAAGAAGACAGGACTAATTCATCCGGAAATCCTATATCCATGATATGTGCCCATGACTGACATTCCATTAAGAGTCAGGGTGAGAGGGATGCCTGGATGGCTCAGTGGTTGATCTGCCTTCAGCTTGGAATGTGATTCCAGTCTAGGGATCGAGTCCCACGTCTGGCTCCCTGTGAGGAGCCTGCTTCTCCCTCTCTGCCTGTGTCTCTGCCTCTCTCTGTGTCTCTCATGAATAAATGAATAATATCTTAAAAAAAAGTCAGAGTAAGAGAAAAGTAGGGGGAGAAGAGAGTGGAAGGGAGGGAGGAATCACGACAACAAAAAAGGAAAGTCACAATCTGGGAAGGCTTCTGACCGTGTGCCCCCATGTGCACACCCTCTGCCACATAGATGATAACAGGAAAATGGGAGAAAACTGAGAGCCTCAGCAGCTCCTTTAATCTGTGCCTCCACATAGGGGAAACAGATTTATTTTCCACGTAACTTTTGAAGATTTCAACAAAGCCACAAAGCAAGGTGAGCTCTTTGGTATTTCATGAAATCGTTTATAGTTCTGGGTATGGATGGGGTGGTGGTGGCTCTGAACAGATTCCACAGAACTGCCAGTTCTAAGCAGATGAGAAGTGCGTTATGTGAACCACTCTGTCTTGGCCAGAGAGTTCCACAGAACTGGCCTCTAAGTGGGAAAGAGAAGTGCATGTGGCATTCACACACGTTTCAAACACTGCGTGGAGTTTATCATAGTCTGTGTTAAGGTTGTGAACATGGAAGTCATCAACCAGGGTGGGTCAGAGGTGAACATGAACCAAACTTTTCACAAGTCACAGCCAGAGTCTGGCACCTTCGTGGAGCTGTGAAATGGAGGGAAGACACGTGTCATCTCTAACTTTGGGCCTGGCCTTCTTTTGCATTCACTTAAAAAAGTCCATGTCGATAATGAGCCAGAATGGAAGGGAACCCCCTCCCCGCTGCTTATGGGCACTAGCAAGGTGCAAGTGAAAAATTCTGATAAAGCTCACAGCCTTGAGGAAAATTTCAAGTGGCTTATTGCCTTAGTTTTCTCGTATTTCACCACTCATTATCAGAGAGAATTGAAGGACAGATTTTGCCTTTTGCTCTGCGGACTAAATTCTATTCTCACTGGAGACCAGAGTGGGTGACCAGAGTATCTCGCAACTCACTTATCTGCGTAACCCTCTCTTTAATGGACTCAAGATCTGTAAGGCGCATCCAGTGGAAGAAGTCTGTACGTCAGCTGATGGAAAATGTGGGTGTGCACACACGAGGTGAGAGAAAAGTTACTTTCTGCATGCAATGAGCCAAATTCTCCCAATTCCTCTGCAGAAGAGCCATCCCCTTTCTTCCTTTTTCTTTTCATAGCCTGAACAACATTTAGCTTAGCTTTCAGGTCCTTGGGTTTTCAGTAGGATCCAACAGGTGTGGGGAGGGGTCATATGCCCATGGCCAGGACATCACTCTGGAAGACTCTGCCTCTCCTGATAAATAGCAGTCTCTACGGCTCAGAGGGCCTTGTCTCCAGCCCAGATTTCAGAGCGGGGCCTCGTAAAGCCAGCAATGTTAAGACCAAAATAATGTCATTTAGTGTCTAGGGGGAGGTTAAAAAGATTAGAAGAAAGCAGGCAGGCAGGGTATATTAAACGAGTCCATGACTAACAGGGTGTGACAGGAAAGGGTTTTATTCTTTTCAACAAAACAATTCCCTAGGGCTGGGACCATGACTCTACTGTGCCTTTATCACCTTGGAATTTTTATGGTTATTTTTGATGAATTCACATTTTTGTAAAGCCTTTTTTGAAATGATGCCAACTTTCAATTTTTAATTAAAGTCGTAAATAATCTTAATTCTGCCTTAAAAGGTTTATTGTTTCTTACTTCTTCTTCTTCTTCTTTTTTTTATTATTGCTGCCAGGAAATATTTCAAATACCAAGTCCTGATGTGAGTTAGCAATTAGAATCTCAAGGTCTAGTAACAACATTGTACCGTGTAAATATCACATGCTGGGACACCGGTACAAGATCTGAAAACGTGGACTGGCTGATTTCATTTGGGTTTATTCACATTGCTGCTCCCGGGAGTGGCATTTCCCCTTTTTATTGGATGGGGCAACTTTCATCGTTTTAATTTCCACAGATTAATTTATCACTGATTCATAACAGATTCTTAAAATCTTCAGATTAAAAAGATGGGTGAAAATTTGGAGAGTAAAAACACAGTAACCGTGTCCCTAAGGTCTGGAAAATAAAAGGCAGCCACATACAGCTCATTCACTTGCAAGAAACCGGGAGCTCATCCAGAGCTGAATCACTACAGACATGGTACCTCACTTTACAGAAGACAAAATCAAAGGAGTATTGCAATATTTGACACTGGGTTTTAATACTGCTCTTCGAAAGTATATCCTTGTAACCTAGACTGATAGTTGAAGGCTATCTGCAAATTGTCTAGAAATTTCTATTTTGTAGAAATGAATCTTGGGGTCTGATTTTCCTTTTTTAAATTAATGCTTCAGGAATCTTTCACACAATCAAAACTATTCCTGTTTTATATAGAGACTGAGACACACTGCATTTGAACAACAGAAACCAATTAATTAATAATTCCTGAAAATATCTCATTACGTTTCCATATCTACTGTCAACCTGGGTTACCTTCTTAAGTGGAATAATGAATTAGTGCTTATTTGTCTGGATGTAGGACTTGTGTTCTCTCATGTCCATGGTAGCTGTTATTCTCAGGGAAGGTGTTCTCCAGTCTTATGATAGGTTTGCTATTATGGTAAAACTTCATACATTTAAGACAATTTAGGGGGTGAATGGTCAGATTTAAGAGAGACAACTCCCAAGAAGGTTTCTGTTGTGTCTTTGTTTTTTAAACAAAGACAACTTATCACTTCAAATTCACAAGATACACACATAGATAATGACAAAAGCCATTAGGCCGTGGTTCTTCTGACACAGGGAACAGTATGTAATACTGGTGTTATTTAAAAAGTATTAAGTATCCTCCTTAACAACTTTATTTATATTATTAATTCACTTAGCTGTTCCTTTGCTCTTCTACAATACAGGAATATATTTAGTCCATGTTGACTGATCATCTGTTATCATCTATTGATAATGATCATCTGTTATCAGTTTACTGTACTCCAATAAAAGAGGCTTAATTATATTTATAAAGAAAAAAAATGATTTTAACAATTGACTTACAAGAGTGGGTTTGTATGCAATTAAGAGTATCTATCAAATCCTTCCAACTGGGCATTTTTCTAATTCTCAGGGAAGAGGTCAAACTCTTTCCATATATGAGCCCTCAACTGGCTTTGTGCTAACACCTCACAAGGAAGAAAAAGCTCAAGTAGGAAAAAAAGACTACACAGCATTTCCCAACATAAAAGTGTTAAATCCCTATAAACCATGAAAGAATGCACGATTCTAGTTAACTAGAAGTGCTAGTGACCTGAAAACCATGGCCATGGGGTTCAATCACATCATTGGGTTAAATCACTTGAAATAAATTGAATCTTAAATTCCCTTACATATATTACAAAGGGCACTTAAATGAATCAGTAGTACTATCTTAACGCATTGGAGCACTCAAAAAGCTAAGGTTAACTCAGTGTTCTTCTGCCATGGTCAGAAGGTACTTGGTCCAAAAACTCATAAACTCACTTATTGGGAAATGCCTTGAAAGGTAGTAAGCTCCTCATATCTCAAGGTGTTGAAGCACAACGTGACCAGACACCTGTTGGAGATCTTATGAGTTTGAGAGAGTCAAGTGGGTAGGCTGGTTGACTTTTAGCATTTCTTCCAAATCCAAGACACTATGCATTCTATATACTTTAAAGATGCATTAATTCCTCAGTGATGTCAAAGTAATTTTAGGTTCAATTCCTTTCTCAGATTTTCATACATGGTACCTATTAAGAAACGTGTTTTCTTTCTTTTCTTTCTTTCTTTCTTTTCTTTCTTTCTTTCTCTCTCTCTCTCTTTCTTTCTTTCTTTCTTTTCTTTCTTTCTTCTTTCTTCTTTTTTTAGCTTAAAGGGAGGGATACTCTATACTTATCCTAGAGATACACCTACCTTCTCCATAAGAATGAAAATGGTTTCAGCCAATTGATATTTCATGGAGAAGCACTTATCTCCAGAAAGGGTTTTTGTTGTGCTATTTTTCCCAATTCAATTTCCTTTAACTATGTGGACTTAATTTCCATAAAAGCTTTTTGTTACTCTCTGGTTTAGTGCCTTTTGCTAATTTTCTCTGATTCTTGTTATACGACCCCTCCCCAGAATTGCATATCTGGTTATAACATTGCTATTACTTCATGGAAGATGTCCCTTCCCAAAGAGCATGTAACAAGTTGAAGAATTTCAATGTCCAGCACAAGGTCCCAGTACTGCAAGAGTCATTTAAATGTGCCTTTCCTGGCTGGATAAATTCTTTTTTAAAATTACCTTTTTCCTTGCCTGTTGATCTTTGGAAGAATGTGCCTTCACATGCTTTCGTAGGGAACTTGGGTCTGTGTAGCGTTTGGTGCATCCTGGAATTTGACAAGCATAAGGTTTCTAAATAAGAAAGAAAGAAAAAAAAACACAAACAACCAGCTGTAGTTAAATCATAAAAGTAACTGAGGGAAATTTACTCAGATTACTGACTTCAGAGCAGGAATTCTTACCAACTGGCTGAGGTGAAAATGCTGGGATTACTTGTGCATTTTAATTAGAAAGCCCTGAAAGTTTGCATCAAGGCAAAGGGGACTACATTTTTGAGAAACAAGGAGACAGCTTTAGAGGTGCACTCCTCCCACAGAACCTCTCGTGGCATTTGTGTGTGTGTGTTTTAAAAGATTTTATTTATTCATTCACGAGAGACACAGAGAGAGAGGCAGACATAGGCAGAGGGAGAACCAGGCCCGATGTGGGACTCAATCCCAGGACCTCAGGACCATGCCCTGAGCCAACCACTGAGCCACCAAGGTGCCTCTCTCGTGGCATTTTTGGATGTGGAAATTATTAGTAAGCATCTCTAGTCATACTTACAGTTATGTTCCCCTGAAAACAATCTTTGGTACTGTCAGAAACTAGGAAACACATTCTTTAAGAGTTCAGGTAGAGAGAAGCTGCAGAAAAGTCCAGAAAAGACTGGGAATGTTTCAGAGGAAACCTGATTCAGAAAGAGAGAATGAGAGAATTAAAAAGGGAATATTAGTAGAAAGTGAGTGAGAGGCAATAGGTTTTTTTTCCCCAAACAACAGACACATGAAAACTCAGCCAGAGAAATATTATTATAGGACTGCAGGTGTAGAGGAGTCCAAGTGCTCAGCCTGGGCCCTTGGCTGGGTGCAATGAGAACACAAGTTTTGGCTAATTCAATGCCCTCATGCTCCTGAGAGATGTGAGCTGCAGGGCCTCAGGCGGAGTCTAGAGGATGGCTTTTGAGCTATGAAATAAAGCAAATCTTTCTGTTTAATCTAAGAACTAAAATAAAAAATCACAAGACAGACTGTGTTCGTAAGTCACAGCTTCCAGTCACTCATGTACTTAGGACCTCAGTAGGTGAGATTGATTACAGTTGTGCCTACAAGATTTGAAATGTAAGGAGGAGAAGTGAAACTCTGCCTCTAGAATAGGATTCTTGCTCTGGGAAATGGCTATCCCATTAAAAATAACAACAAAATATATATATCAAATCAAAACAAAATAAAAAGCCAGAAAAAAAACCTGATTTTTTTCCTCTATTTATTCCTATTTTCATGTGTATGCTTGTCATTTTGTGGGCCAACACATATGTGGATTATATTATTTGCCCTGCCTGAAGCCACATTTATGATTCGCTTTTTTGTTTTTGCCATTTTTGATTCCAACCACAAGGTAAAGTCATGAATATATAATTTAGTTGGGCTCTCTCAATACGAATTCTAAGTGCGATGTGTCTGTTCCTTGACTGATTGACTAAATCCCCCATCAGGTCTCACAGTTTCACAGTGCGTTCGGCACTGAGTTACATGTGAGAAATCAGACAGGGGATAGTGGCTGAACCAGGCTCTCAATAACTGTTTTTGCAAAGGGTCAGCCGATATGGGTTAAAGCCACTCACCAATGAGTTTCCATTGGGTAAACGAAGGTTTCTGTTCACCTGGGAATCTTCTGAATTTGCGTGGCTTTCCTGCACAGCCTTCTCTATCCTACCCTGGCTTCCGGGCAGCAACTGGATAGTATCTTTATTGCGGTCATGTTGCAACTACATAAACTTACATATGAGCACTGTGGCATGTAAAAAAAAAAAACTTCAGGAATATTAGCATGTTATATAAATCAATACCATTATTATTACCATGGCCGGTAGTATTTGGGTTGAAAAGACAAGAAATGGGTAATGTGATTTTGTATTTGTTTTTTGTTTTTGAGTTCTCAAAGAAGGCTTGGCTACTCTCCACTTCAAGGGGGGGGGGAGGGGGTGGTTACCCTCTCTCCCCTGCTGTTAGCCACCTGGGATCAGAATGCCAAAACAGTAGTGGTCTGGTCCCAGTGCTACTAGTGCACTGCTCATTGTACCTCAGATGACCTAAGCTTTAAACAGCATGCTGCACTTTATCAAACTCTATTTTCCACGTGTACCATAAAATCATTCCCCCTGTTTAGATATTAAGACGCTAATAGAGAAATAAGTTAATAAAACTTTTCAGGGTTAGAATTATGAACTCAGTAAGCCTTATAGAAAAAAATCATTTTCCTATAAGTAAAGAATCCATTGAGTTGAAGAAAGATACTTTATCCAAAATTCTGACAACACTAGCATAAGGAGTGCTTAATGAAAGGAAAAGAGGGCCTACATTTAAATATACATTTTTCAAGCAGCGACCATTTGCTTTTTAAAACAAATGTTTAATTTTTACATGATTTTAAAAGAGCTTACCAAATCATTTAATACAATAAAAATTTAAACAGGACGGTTGGTTTGCATCTTGAAGAAGAATGATGGTTTTAAAAAGATTTAATAGTGTTTTTTTTTTTAATAGCTGGGTTTTAAAAGCTACTGGCATTGAACTGAATCATGAAATTATTAACTGTGGTAGCTTTCCTCAAAAGTTTTAAAAAGTGATTTTTTTTAAATTCCAAAATGATTTTAGAAAATGCTCGTAGTCTGATTAGCTAAAATTAGCTCCAAGAAGGGTATTGTAGAACCATAACACTTAGGCTCACAATAGTTCTTTCAAACTACAGATAACCAGCTAGAGTAGAGGCAATTTCTCAAGACAATCTTGTCTCGTGAATGTTCATTCTTCCATGATAAAGTTTAATGACAAATTGGAAAATTTATTAGATTCTACCAAGACCATTTTAGACATACAAAATAGGGCATTTTAACATAATTTATTCTTTTTTTCCCTATTTCTACCTTTTAAAAAATCCTGCTATTCACCAAATTTATTCATTTCATATTCTATTCTGTTGGTCCTAAAATCACTGAATTCAATTCAGCTAGAGCAGAAAGGGGCTATCCTATGCTCATATAGCTCTAATTATATTTCAGCTATTTACGAGGCAAACCATCACACTTACGTATGTTAGGAGATAATTCTGTTTAGAAAGGTTATGTGACATATAGCTAAAATGACTTCTATCAATATGACTAATAGAGACTAATAAAATTTAATAAATATGTCAACTATAACATCAGAAGAATCTTAAATATGTATGAGAAGGTGTGTAGAAATAACAATAACAGTATCTTTTCAAAATTCAAATTCTGGTGTAGTTTAATAATAGACATTGGAATGTTAACACTGAGAAAGTACTGTCATGAATACATTATTTGCAAGAATGTGGGATAAGAGATCTGTGATGTGTATAATACATTTATCCTGATGGCTTTGTTAAAAGAAGTGAAACTGCACATAGTCTACCTGGCCTCCTGTAAGGCAAATGGCATCAGAACTTGAGAGATGCAAAGAAGGATGATCAACATAACAGAAAATAAAGGAGTCTTAGAAAAGAAGCAAAATGTTACAGCACTAAAAGAGTTAAGGTGATTTTCAATGATGAAAATCAGTTGTTCTCATAAGGGTTATGCCAATGGATATGCGGCTGTTAACACACAGGAAGCATGATAAAGCTGAACCCTGGCATAAGATTTGCTGAGTCTTCTTAGATCGCCTGAAGGTGAAAATGCCAGGTGGTTTCTAAAGCAAAAGGCCAGATTCACACTGGGTAACCATGCCAGTCTCAAAGTTCTTACGTCAAAAAAAGAACAAGGGTAAAGAAAAAACAATAACAGACAACGACTTTCCAATTCTAGCAATAATATATATTATCTATTTCAGCATATCTTGATATTTGAATAATTTATTTTTATGCCTTATGCCTGGTAGTCATCCTGTGTACTGAAATCTACTATGTGACAACACCTGAACTGCCTCTGCTTTGTACACAGAGGTGATCAAGGAACCCCTTTGTCTTTCAGGCAGTTGTAATATTTAGGATAGCTTGTCACTACAGAAAAATGAAGAGAGAGCCCAACAGGGCCCCTTCTGGACCTCCACAAAGATTCCACTGCTGCCTTTAGCATTGTCCCTATAACCTGTAGACATAAAGCAAACACTTCAGCATTCCACTATCAAATGGGCACTTTCTCACACCAGGGCCTGGGGCTGGAAGCTGGGAATCTCCGGCCATTCTTACAGTGTCCAGATGCGTCCTCTGGTGCTTGGCGCGGTCGCTGGAGTTACTGAATGCCTTCTGACAGCCTGGATGTTGGCACAAGTATGGCTTCTCACCCGTGTGACTCCGCAAGTGAATCTTGAGATTCTCAAGCCTTGAAAAGGCCTTCTTGCAACCTTCAAACTGCAAAAAAGAAAACAGTTTTGAGTTGTTGAGAAGGAGCTTGAATGTTTGGGTCTGGGGGACGGGAAAAAAAATGTCCTCGGTGTGTATTTGGCCTAAAACAAAAAAACAAAAAATAAAATGAAATCCAAACAGTAACAAATATGACTTCTAAAAATATCCACATATTTATGTGAACCACATTTTTCCACTAATATAGATGCCACTTTCCATACCAAATCTGGGTCTCAAACTGATTTCTGTGATTACTTATGTCAGAGAAAATTTGCTATGAGCCATCTGGCTCAGTTAATAAAAATACAGTAATGCGTGTCTTAAAGATTTATTAAAAAATTAACACACTTTTCCATTTCCAAATTGGACTAAACGGAAGGAATCAGGAAGGAAGAAACTTTTTACAACTAATAAACTAGCAAAAAAAAAAATTCAATGTGATGTATGAGAATAAAGGTGAGCTGAAGATCCAAGGGTCCAGGATGCAAAAGCCATGTGTCTGTGGGGTCGTCACAATCATAAACTTCCTAAATAATCTCAAGGAGTTTTTCAACTTCCCAAAGAGTGACTCTGTTAGCATACACAGTGAAGCCAAGCCTAATGAGATACGTTTTAAATGTGCTTTTAAAAAATCTCCTGGAACACAATTTGTGTAGTGCTGAGAACATTTTCCAAATGAAGTGATAGTTATATCTATTTTTGTTTTTCTAAGAAATGTTACCTCCTTCATGAAGAGAAGAATTGAAAATGAAAGGCTGAAGGTTTCAAGAAATGCTTTATGGGTTTGTCAATATTTATCGATGGGACTATTTACTATGTATCTTCTGTGGGTAAAATATCAGCTACTATATTAGAGGTGCACAGTGATTCCAATCTTGAAAGTGACAATCTAATAAAGAAAATGTGTTATAGGAAGCCTGTAAATGAGGCATAAATGTGAGATGGGCATTTAACTTGTGACTCTCTCTTTGGTAGTAAGCCCCAAAATACTGATGTCACTTTAACAATTTTAACCCCATTTGGGTTCCCACTGCAAAGGAAACTTAGAAATATGGACATGGAGTTTAAAACAATTTTTTTAAAACCCTCACTTCTTAAGAGAGTAATGTAGGGCCTGAGGGGTGAGGAATGGCTGGGTAGAAGAGAATAGAAGTAAAGAAGGTAAATTCAAGATGGTTTCCATTCAAAATCAGCAGTATTATTTAACCTTACTACAAGACATTTTATGAAATTCTCAGTTCTAGCGATTATTAGAGTAGATGATGGAGGATGGAGTACGCCGTTCATGAAGGAGTAGTCCAGAGCTGGCCAGGTTTAAAGAATGGATGGACCAAGGAGAAAGAATAACCAACCATGTCATAACTCCGTCTATTTAAGTCATCCAGATTTGCATGCTAGAGTATTTTAAGAAATTTATGAAAGTTGCACTTATTTTTGATTGAGAGTTATACATGTTTCGCAGACATATGTTGGTTTATTTCAATTTTGATATTTTGCTTAAAATAATTTTGGTGTTTTCCTGATTTCTATTTCACATAAAAATAAATTTAGCCTGAACAGAAGATGATTGCTGACAGAGCCACTACTTTTTCAGCAGAGTGAGAGGCATATAATGACATACCATTCAAGGGAAAGAGAGGTTAAGTGGCCTTGTTTCTGCAGGTGTTGTAGGGGGTCTCAAATTTGAGAATTAAAGGGGCTCAATGTTATCCCCCAATTCATGGCTAAGAAGACTCTGCTGACCAAACCTATGTTTTTAAGGTTCTTTCTGAATGACCACTCAGAGCAAACTGCTGGAACTTAGTTGATTTGACAGTCACCTGCTGGGCCACACTTAGGTCAGAAATGAGCTTGTGGTTTTGGATCCCTTAAGCCTGTAGTCTGGTTCCTAGCAAGGCTCTTTTGTAGGATGGATGTTGTGCCAAGGCCCTCCATGGTACACACGCAGACCTGGGAGGTCCTGGCCTCCACTCCCTTGTACCAGTCATCCCAAACACTGATCAGAGAGAAAGTTGCATTGTCTAGGAACCAACATGCATGGGGACGGAGAACTACTTTAGAACAGACAAATGAGGTTTCGGTGAGCATCAGACAAACAAGACCCCCTGGATTGACCACAGAGGGACTAGAGGTATCCTCGACATGTCCTAGAACTAATTCAAACTGTCCACTTGATCAGACATAAGCTGGACACTAGACTGGTGTTTCCATGCTCTCTCCTGTTAAATGTCCAGTTAAAGTCAATTAATTGCTATTATTACTATTAACAGAAACTGTGATCAAAGACAAAAAGGCTTGCTGTATCCCATGTAAATGAGTGAAAAGTGAACTATATCCCAGAACATCGTGACCGCTCTTAAATAGCAAAGATAGGAGGAAAATATGAGCACCCAGACTGAAAACGATAACCAAGAGATTATCTGTAAAAATCATGAAAATCCAGCTGATGTCACGCATCTCATCTGCAGCATAAAAGGCTGGAAGGTGACAGTGTCTGTCAGCACTTGCAGTAGCACTAGAGTATTTTCAGGGGGAGAGATTAAGAGTGAAGCATCATGTTTGACCCCATGGGGTTGCCAGAATAAAGGCAAGAGAAAGGCAATTTCTTGGACTTGGGGGCTTATAATATATATCGCCCACTCACTCTTGTTGAAGAAATACTCTTGAAATCAAGAACCCCAAACCAGGAAAGTCAAGCACTGAGGAACTGATACATAGCTCCCTGGGAGGCCTTGCACCCAACGCATCGGGGCAGTCTAGAGAGCACCACACCTGATTGAACTCTGCACACCAACAATTCTGCAAGAAGAGGAAGGAGGTGCTGTTCATTTTTCTAATGGTGTCTGGCTTAAACTTGAAAGCAAACAATTGTGTAATGAATCATTATCATTCATTATGGGAATAACCCTGTAATTCAACACAAGAATTTCCTTTCCCTCAGGGCAATTTTACCTCTAGATTTATAAATTCAGTTAAATGCAAATGCATTAAAAATAAACTAACATTTAGATAGAAGTATAAAAGGCTGTTACAAAATACTCCAAAACTGGATGCTTTGGGCATCTGGGCAAATGGATGCCTTTTTCTATATTATGTTTTTTTCATGTTTTCCAAATCTTTAATGAGTGAGTTTTGCCTTGCGAATGAACATCTAAACCTAGGAAAGCAAGGACCACAGAAAGAGTGTTTCCCTGGGTTTAGCCAAAGGCTTTCTCATCAAGGTTCCCACCGTGCAAGGTCCACCCTGAGGTCCAAAGTCCAAAGTGTCACCTGACTGCTTATGCCACCGTCACTAACCAAGCCTTATACAAAACTCGACCAAGAGGCTACTCTCAGGTCCTTACCTTTTCACACTGTCTGTAGAACCAGGCACCAAGGGCAAGTGGAGTTAAACCAGCAGGCTGAGGTTGCCTGTGGTTCAAACACAGGTCATATGGAAAAAGACAAGAGAAAAAACAAACTCTCAGAATCCAAGGGGGCAGCAAGAGGAGGAAACAAAGAATGCCAAAGAAAGGCAAACACAGGACAGTGATGTGGGAGGGAGTGGTGGTGGGCAGGGGTCTGATATATACTAGTAATCTCCTGTAAATAACATTTTTTTTGTCCCCAGCACATATTGGGTAAACCCTCTGAGCATGGCACAATGTGTGCTAGGCCCTGGGAGAAGTGATGAATGAAGCTCAAGCTTTTCTCATGGGAAGATGACCATAAGGCAACTTGTAGGGCTGGGCAGTGTCCATACTGATAAACCTGTAGCAGGGCTTCTCAACGAGGTGCTGCAGGACCCAGCAGCAGCCGAGGGCCCTGGGCACCTGTCAGAAATATGAATCCCTGGCCCTACCCAGATGTACAAAAGAGAACCCCAGGGGTGGGGGTCCAGTCAACTGGGTGTTGACAAGCCCTCCAGGAGATTCTCATGTTTTATCTGTGAATGCCATTTGTACTGTAACCACTGCTGATTTGCTTTGAAAAATCTCCTTGCAGTATTCCCCCACTTCTAACTGCGACAAGAGCTACGTGAACCAGCAGCAGCCTTGGCCTGAAAAAGGAACATTTCCTGATGTGGGGTAAAGCTGTGTTATCTCTATTCCTGCAGCAAATGGCGCAAAGTTTCAGAATGCCAATCTCATATCAGAGATTCTTTAAAATTCCTGACTTTTTAATCTGCTGCCCAGCAGATACATGGTTCTGAAAGAGGTATTGCCTACAAGCTCCCTCAGTGGCCTCCTGACCAGCAACGCATCTGCATTTTTTTTTAAGACTTTATTTATTCATGAAAGACACACAGACAGAGAGGGAGGTAGACACACAGGTAAAGAATGCAGCAGGCTCCATGCTGGGAGCCGGATGTGGGACTCGATCCCAGGACTCCAGGATCATGCCCTGGGCTGAAGGCAGATGCTCAGCTGCTGAGCCACCCAGGCATCCCCACATTCCACATTTCTAATGCCCATTACATTCCCCTGTTGAGAAAAAAGCACATAGCTTTCCATTTGCACATTTCAGTGACTTTACAGAACACACAGAATCATGCATGAAACAATTCTGTAGGTAACAGAACTTTAAATCTCGGGGGTTTGCATTGCATGAAGCCTCACTCTGAGAATGATCTCTAACTCCGAGGCTGTTTGCAAGTAACAAATTTTAATTAAAAAGTATAAATTGCCTCAAACCCAGAGAACCTTAGCTTACGCCATTTTGCTAATTTAGGAGATTATTTCATATTTAAAGGATCACAACTGGACTGTAATCACCATCCATATATATTGGCTTGATTACAGATTGTTGACATTAAGTGCTATTAAGATGACCTTTGAAATATTACTTTCCCTTTCTATTAGAGGCTTTTGTGTAAGGTTCTGAAAATGAAAGGCTCATTAGACACCATTAAAATAGGATTTATTCCATATGTGTAACCAATAATCAAGTAGAATATTGCTCCTTCCCCTAATCAGCTACTTAACGTACTGAGAAGCATACTTCATGTTCAAAGCAGTAATAACAGC